AACCACTAATCCCACACTTCCTATCCAAGATGCTGGAAAAAACTTAAAAAACGGCCACACAACCCCTTCGTAAGCTGTTTGTCTACAGTCCGACGAACTAGGGAAATTCACGACCTAGTTACCAAAATGGAAACACAACGGACAATAACAGCAGAACATCAGGCCCTAGAATCCCACGACGAATCGCTCAGATGTTTCAAAAACAGATGAATTATCATCGAAAGTCTGAACTCCGAGCTGTGATTGATGAATCAGGACAAGTTATAACAAATGACAACCAGATAGCAAACCTACTCAACAAGTATTTCTCAAATAACCACATATATAGCCGAGGAAGAACCGACCTCCAACCGACCTCCAACCGACCGATTTGACAGAACACACCCTTGGTGGGAACTTTTTTAATGAAGAAACTTTTAAAGTAGCTATGAAACAACTATCCAACGCCAAGTCCAATGAGACGGACAAAATCCCGCCATGTATTCTGAAGCATACGACGTATGCTCTAATACTCCTATCTATGCTATTCTCCCTACTTTAGTCAAGTGCAATTTTCCAGACGTTTGAAAGTACCCAAAAATTGCACCTATCCTTAAAGTCAGCAATCGATCTCATACTCAAAGCTATCGTTATGTTCACCTAACACCAGCAATAGCTAAAATCCTCGAGAAGATATTTTACAATCAGTTGCTGGATCATCTCATAAACGCTAACCTCGTTCTTCCATGTCAACATGAACTTTTGCCTGAAAACTCATGTCAGTGTAGCTATCTCACTTTTCTAGACCTCGTTTCCAGCAATACAGATGATGGAAACACAGCAGCTGCCGTATACTTCGACCGTAAAAATGACCTTTGACAAAGTTTCCCATAAAAGACTACTGATATAGCTAAAAAGTTATGGAATTAGGCTCCCTCTTCGCAATTTTCTCAAATCCTATCTTCGAAACCGATATCAAGTGGTGCAGATTTGAATGGTAGTCTCACGACCACCCCCTATTACCAGTCGAGTACTTCAAGGCACTATCCCAGGCCCCCTTCTACATCTCATAAAAATTCATGACTAATCGTCCATATCAATCTCAGCTAAAACGTTTTTAGATGCGGACGATCTAAAGCTCGCCTAGGCATATAACGAGTATACAGTAGCCAACATTCAAATGACAATCGAAACCGATCTTAGAAAACTTAGTAAATGGAAAAGTCAGTGGCAAATGCCATCTCCTGATCCTGAGCCCACAAAACTCCTCATAGAATATTCGAAGATAATGAAATAACAGAAGCCCAATTAACAAAGGCTTAGGTGTGAGCCATAAAAATACTATTGACTTATCTCCCCACGT